GGAGGAGGAGGAGGAGGAGGAGGAGGAGGAGGAGAAGGAGAAGGAGGAGGAGAGGGAAGAGGAGGAGGAGGAGGAGGAGGAGGAGGAGGAGGAGGAGGAGGAGGAGAAGGGAGGAGGGGGAGGAGGGGGAGGAAGGGAGGGCCTCCTGGGGGGGAGGGCTTCTCGGAGCAGGGCGACTTGAAACCGCGGCAGCTCCAAAGTAGGTCCGGGGGCCCCCGCTCGTGCTCCAAGCCCACAAGTGCTCCAAGCTGCGTCCAGCCGTGGCGACGACGGGGCCCCCCGGAGGCCCACTGCCGTTGCCTCAGCTCGCCGTCCCCTGACCTTCGTGGCTACGGCTATGATGTTCCAACCTACTTTAGCCCTGATCACCAGAAAGAATTCCGAGCACCAAGAAAGTACCGAGACTGGCGGGTTTTCACGTGTCGGGCCCTGGGAGGCGATACTCGTCCGATACTGTTTCGATACGTCTTTGCGTGCTCGAAACTATTTCTGGGATTTGGTCCTTTTGTACGATGGGAGCAGCAGAAGGCTACGGCTGGTCGCGGCTCTCGGGAGAAGCCTGGCATCTCTGGAGCGGGCTCTGGCCGACGACCCACGAGGCGCAGCCACGCACATGGCCTTCGGGCGGTCGCGGCCATGGGCTTTTCGCCGACGGCCTGAGAAGAAGAGAAAAGACAGCACGAACAGAAGATGTTGGCGCTCCGCGCGGAATTTTTTGATCCGCGCCGGACCCCCCTCCCTGGCGCGCTCCGCGCGCCAGGGGCGGCGCCAGAGGCGCCGCCAGGCGGCCCCAGCGCGGATCCAGGAAATCCGCACGGAGCGCCAAAGTTTGCCGTTTTTTCTGACTCGAAGCCCGTACGGATGTCTTGCATCAGCGCTGCACCCCCGTCCCCTCCGGCGCCACGGGGGGACGGGCGTCGATCCAAAAAGATCAGAAGGGAGCCTTCCAAGATGGCGCCAGCTCGTGGTAGCAACGCAGGTACACCGTTTTCTGCGCGGGCCGTCTTGCGATATCAGGGCCTGCTCGGGCGGGTGGTGATGGGGGCTGACCCGAATTGGCGGGTGAAAAGAAAGGACCCGAAATGGTCACTTTGGGGCCTCTTTTGGGGCCAACCGGGGGCCCCAAAGGGGCCCCAAAGTGCCCCTGTAGGGCCCCCTGTCTTCACCCCCCCTTGAGGCCACCCCCCGCTGCCACTCGCCCGACCTGCCTGGGCTCGCCTTGTACAGTGGAGGCCCGACCACAAGAAACCTCCCACAAGAAGCACAACCCTGGAACCCCAGGACGCCCATTGACTCTGGATGTGGGCACGTCACGCTCTCCGTGGCAAAACCATCGAGACCCAAGAGAAACCCGGGGCACCCTGGAGGCAAGCAGGGTGTCTCTTGGCGCGGGCCCCCACTGGCAGCCCAGAGAGCACATCGTGCCGCCGCTGGGCCCCCGGGGCCCCCTGCCTCTCCCGCACGACGGCGCGGCGCCCTTGTGCGGCGGCGTGCGCGGGCCGATGCCTCGGCACACCGCGCGGGGACGCGGGCGGGCACGCTGAACCTCACGAGGGCGGCTCACGCGGGCGACGCTTGATTGTGTCTGTGTGTTTGTTTCCCTCCTGAGTCCATCCCGTCCTCCTTCGCGGGTCGACGCGGCTTCCGGCCCACTGGAACAGAGTGGCCGTACACCCGCCGGCGGGCTGGCGGGCGCTGACGACCAGCAAGGTCACTCGTCTTGAGCGAGACCACCCAACGCCATCCGCCCCACGCGCGGCTGCACGTTTTCGTGGCCGCCCCTCGCAGGCGAAACCCGATACACACTTTGGCTCGGTCTGACCCTCTGGGAGATCGCCTTCGGTGAAGCGTTGGTCATTGCCTGCCAGCAGAGGGGGGGGTCCGACCTACCTTTAGGTGGGGCATGTCCTCCTACGTGCGGTTGTTTGAAGAAGAACGAAAAACAGCCGAACAAGTATTCAAAGCCAACAACATAAACATGCTGAAGAAACAAAAAACATTTAAAGACAAACAAAAAAACATCCCCAGGCGATTGTCTCACTATTTTGGGGATATGTTCCTCCTGTAGAGGGACATGCCCGACCTAAAGCTATCTGCAGCGGGCTCCCTCCTTCAACACCTGCGAGTCTCCTCCTCCTTCTCCTCCTCCTCCGCCTCCTCCTCCTCCTCCTCCTCCTCCTCCTCCTCCTCCTCCTCCTCCTCCTCCTCCTCCTCCTCCCTCCTCCCCCTCCTCCTCCTCCTCCTCCGCCTTCCCGCCCGCGGCTCGCCTCCCTCCCACCCCTCCCCAGACGCCCTCGCCGCGGACTCCCTTGCGCCAAACAGGAGCGAGGCATCCCGCCTGGCCCTTTCGGGCGCGAGTGGTCCAGCGAGCTCATTCCGCAGCCCTCTGCTTCCCCTTACCCCCTCCCCCATGGGTCTGGAAGGGGGGGGTCGCGATCGATGAGCGAGCGTCCAAGATGGCGCCAGGACGTCCCGCCCTCCCTCCCGCCCGCTTCCCCCCCCCCGTCGCTCCTCCCCCTTCCCCCCATGCGGCGCACAGCGTGTGGGAGATCATGTTCCCGATCGTCTTCGGCTGCATGACGCGCTCCTTGAGACAGACAGGCGCCGGGCGCGCAGACGGGGGGAGATGGGCGCCCTGGGCGGCGCCTCAAGGAGGGCTCCTCGGGGCCAATCAAGGAGAAGGGTCGAGGAAGAGGGATGAGGATGAAAAAGAGGAGGTGGAGGAGGAGGACGGAGGAGGAGGGAGGAGGAGGAGGAGGAGAATGGAGGAGAATGGAGGAGAATGGAGGAGGACCAAGGAGGAGGACGGAGGAAGACCGAGGACGGAGGAGGATGGAGGAGGATGGAGGAGGATGGAGGAGGAGGAGGAGAAGACGAGGAGGAAGAAGAAAGAGGAGGAGGACGGAGGACGGAGGACGGAGGACGAGGAGGAGGAGGAGGAGGAGGAGGAGGAGGAGGAGGAGGAGGAGGAGGAGGAGGAGGAGGAGGAGGAGGAGGAGGAGGAGGAGGGGGGGGAGGACGAGGAGGACGAGGAGGAGGAAGAGGAGGAGAATGGAGGAGGAGGAGGAGGAGGAGGAGGAGGAGGAGGAGGGGAGGAGGAGGGGGAGAAGGAGGAGGAGGAGGAGGAGGAGGAGGAGGAGGAGTCTCGAGGTGGGCGAGGAGAACCGAGGAGGAAGAGGGCGATGAGGGAGGTGAAGGAGGAGGGCCGAGAACGAGGAAGAGAAGGGAAGGGTAGGAGGAGGAGGAGGAGGAGGAGGAGGAGGAGGAGGAGGGGAGGAGGACGGAGGAGGACCGAGGAGGACGGAGGAGGACGGAGGACGGAGGAGGAGGAGGAGGAGGAGAACCGAGGAAGAGGGCGATGAGGGAGGTGACGGAGGAGGGTCAAGGAGGAACAGAAGGGAAGAGGATGAGGACGATGAGAAGGAGAGGGAGAAGAAGGAGAGGGGAGGAAGAACAGGAGATCCGAGGAGGTGGAGACGGTGAAGGATGAGGATCGGCCATAACATTCGCAAAATGCATCAACGACACTGTAACAGACGAATGCTAAAGTATGCGAAAACGAATAGTTACGATCGTACAAATTAACGGAATGTCGAGCGAGATCCCCGTTGTGTTAGGAATCGTCCCCGCCCCATATGTGTAACTGCTGCACGAAATTACAGGTATCGCCGTGCGCTTCGAGGAAGCCTCAAGAGACAAGGTGAGCTTCAAACGAAGCCACTCTTCATCAGTGCAGCTGTTACATGTAAAATTGTCTGACACGCAAAGCAAATCTCCAACGAGAACCCACTTTAAAACATGATCCGAGCATGTTGCAAACTGTTTGGACGAACCTGGGCGCGCCCTGGTGAGAACCCCGTGTTGGAATCCAAACGCTCAACTTTGCAAAACTCCCCACAAACCGACCCACTACCTGCTGCAAGCTTTTCAAACGAATGTGCGGGACGCTCAGGCGGGAGCCCGATGTTGAACCCCTCTTCGTTCTGTAACTGCTGCGAAGTTTAAGCTGCGCGGCGCGATGGTGGGAGCTCCAACCTCAAACAGGGCCGCCCTCAATGTGTGTAACAGTTGGACGTCTCAGGTTACGGGGAAAGCCGAGGCAGAATGCCCAGCCCGCCCTACCAACGCGTCTGTTGGTCAGACGAGCCGGAGTGGTACTCGAGCGTGTAACTATGTGTATATCGATGTGAAGGGGGAAACGAGGAGGGGGAGGAGGAGGAGGAGGAGGAGGAGGAGGAGGAGGAGGAGGAGGAGGAGGAGGAGGAGGAGGAGGAGGAGGAGGGGGAGGGGGGAGGGGGAGGGGGAGGAGGAGGAGGAGGAGGATCGAGGAAACGACGGATCGGGATGATTGCGCGTGCATGGCCAGTCTTGGGCACCCGAATGCTCCAGAGGGGGACCACTGAGGACCGTCAGAGATCTCTGAGCCTCCCGAGGCCACGCGTGCAAAGAGAGCTTATGAGCGCTTACGGAGGGCTTCCTGGGACTTCGCGGGCCTTCCCTCCCCCTCCTCGTCGCCATCCTCACCCTCCTCTCCTCCTCCTCCACCTCCTGAACCACCTCCTCCTCCTCCTCCTCCTCCTCCTCCGCCTCCTCCTCCTCCTCCTCTACCGCCCATCGTGTCCTCCTCCTCATCCTCTTCCTTCTCCTCCCACTCCTCCCCATCAGCAGCACGGTCATCAGCATAAGAACCCTGGCACCATCACAATCAGCATCAGCATCAGCATCAACATAATCATCAGCATCATCATAATCATCAGCATCATCATCATCATCATCATCATCATCATCATCATCATCATCATCAGCATCATCATCATCATCATCATCATAATCCTCATCATCAGCAGCATCATCATCAACATCATCACCATCATCATCGCTATTATGAAATATCATAATCATCATCAGCTTCATCAGCATCATCGTCATCATCGTCATCAGCATCATCACCAGCATCATCGATATCATCATCGTCATCACCCTCGTCAGCTCATCATCATCAGCATCATCATCATCATCAGCATCAGCATCAGCATCAGCATCATCATCCTCATCATCATCAGCAGCAGCCGCGTCATTAACGTCAGCATCATCAGCATCAACAGCACCACCATCATCATCAGAACAGCAGCGACAGCATCACCATCATCAGCATCAGTATCATCGTCATCAGCATCATCATGATCAGCAGCATCATCATGGTCGTCATCGGCATCATCAGCATCAGCATCAACATCATTATCACCAGAATCACCAGCATCACCAATATCATCAGAAGCAGCATCATCAACATCAGCATCAGCAACAGCATCAACATCAGCATCAGCCTCACCATAATCAGCATCGTCAGCTTCATCATCGCCATTACCCTCGTCATCATCATCGTCATAATCAGCATCAGCATCACCAGCATCATCATCACTATACTCAGCATCATCAGCATCAGCATCATCAGCATCAGCATCACCATCATCATCATCAGCATCACCAGCATCACCGGCATCACCATCATCATCAGCATCATCATCAGCATCACCATCATTCTCATCAGCAACATCAGCATCATCATCACACCACCATCATCATCAGCAACAGCAGCAGCAGCATCACGATCATCAGCATCATTACAATCATCAGCATAATCAGCATCGTCATCAGCATCATGATCAGCATCATTATGGTCGTCAGCAGCATCATCAACATGAGCATCAGTGTCAGCATCAGCATCAGCATCAGCATCAGCCTGATCATAATCAGCATCGCCAGCATCAGCATCGTCATCACCCTAGCCATCATCAGCCGTACCATCATCATCATCATCATCATCATCATCATCATCATCATCATCATCATCATCATCCTCATCATCCTCATCATCATCGCCCACATCATCATCAGTATACTCGGCATCATCAGCATCACCATCACTATCACCATCATCGTCATCATCAGCATCATCAGCATCAGCATCAGCATCAGCATCAGCATCATCATCAGTCTTAGCATCATCATCACCATCAGCATCAGCAGCATCATCATCGCCATCACCACCAGCATCATCAGCAACAGCATCACCATCATCAGCATCAGCAGCATCAGCAGCAGCATCGTCATCAGCATTATCATCAACAGCATCAGCATCAGCAGCACCGTCATCATCCGCATCAGCATCAACATCATCGTCACCACCATCACCATCGTTATCCTCATCATCAGAAGCAGCATCAGTATCAACATCAGTATCAGCATCAGTTTCAGGATAATCAGAATCAGCATGTTCAGCTTCATCATCGTCATCACCCTCGTCATCATCATCACTATCATCATCATCATCATCATCATCATCATCATCATCATCATCATCATCATCATCACCAGCATCACCATGGTCATCATCATCCTCATGAACATCATCCTCGTCATCACCCTCGTCATCATCAGCAGCAGCAGCATCACCATCAGCATCATCATCATCATCATCATCACCAGCATCACCATGGTCATCATCATCCTCATGAACATCATCCTCGTCATCACCCTCGTCATCATCGGCAGCAGCATCACCATCATCATCATCATCATCATCATCAGCATCATCATCATCGTCATCACCATGCCCATCATCATCATCATCGTCATCACCCTCGTCAGCTCATCAGCATTATCATGATCATCATCATCAACATCTGGATCAGCATCTTTATCAGTAACAGTATCATCATCATCATCATCATCATCATCATCATCATCATCATCATCATCATCAGCATCATCATCATCATCATCATCATCATCATGACCAGCACCACCATGAGCAACACCACCACCATCCTCCTCCTCATCCGCATCAATGTTCTCATCCACTTAATGATCTTCAACCGCATGATCCTCATCATCATCATCAGCAGCATCATCATCATCATCATCAACATCATCATCATCATCATCATTCCCCTCAGCCTTATCGTCCTTATAATCATCATTATCATCACCAGCATCATCACCATCAGCAGCAGCATCAGCATCTTCATCATCATCATCATCATCATCACCGGCATCTTCGTAACCACCATGACCATCATGTGCAGTGGCATCATCATCGTCGTCATAATCCTCATCATCAGCAGCATCAGTATCAGCGGCATCAGCATTATCATCGGCGTCATCATCATCAACATCGACATCATCATCATCATCATCATCATCATCATCATCATCATCATCATCATCATCATCATGAGTATCATCATGAGCATTATCAGCAGTATCCTCATCCTCATCCTCATCATCCTCAACCTCATCCTCATCCTCCTTCTCATCCTGATCCTCCTCATCATCATCCTCCTCATCATCATTGTCATCGTCATCGTCATAATCATGATCACCGCCTTGATCATCATTATCACCACCGTCAACTCTCCTCATCCCCCATCTCCTCCTCATCCTCCTCCTCGCCCTCCCCCCTCCCCCCTCCTCCTTCTGCCGCCCCCGCGCCAGCAGGGGGCCCGCGCGACCGCGGCGTACTCCTCCCGCAGCTCGAAGAGCTTGAGCGAGAACTCGAGCTTCGAGGCCATCGTCTGCACGTCGGTAGCCAGGCCTTCCCCACCGCCCAGCCCACCGAGAGGGTGAGATTTAAGACTGTGTAGCGCGAGACGGTTCTCATCCTCATCCTCCTCTACTCCTTCTCCTCCTCCTCCTCCCCCTCATCATCATCATCATCATCATCATCATCATCATCATCATCATCATCATCATCATCATCATCATCATCATCATCATCATCATCATCGTCATCCTCGTCTCTTCCATCAGCATCACCATCAGCATCCTTTTCCTTCTCCTCCGCATCTTCAATCTCGACTTCATCCTACTCCTCCTCATCTCCCTTCTCCCCCGCGCAATCAAAATTACTCACTGCGTGGGGCTCCCCATATGTGTATAACATGTTTTATGTCATGCCATAGTGAGCGTTTGTTCATGAGCGCTACTGACGAGCAAACCGCCTGAGACATCCCCGCAAAATGGCCGCGAACGGGCACGTGCCCTACCCCGTGGCGGCTCTCCTTAGGGACGCTTGTTGGGCATGAAACCGAGCAAGCCGCCTGAGACATCCCCACAAACTGGCCGCGAACGGGCCCGTGTCCTACCCCCTGGCGGCTCCTTTTAGGGGGGCTGAAACCAGCGCCCCGCCTGAGACATCCTCACAATCTGCTCTGAAAGCCAAGGATGTTGGGCATGAAAACAAACAACCCGCCCGACACATCCCCACGCGGCTCCCCTTAGGGGTGATGAAACCAACGCCCCGCCTGCGACATCGTCAAAATCTGCTCTGAAAGCCAAAGATGTTGACCATGAAAACGAGCAAACCGCCTGAGACATCCCCACAAACTGGCCGCGAACGGGCCCGTGAAAACACCCCCTGGCGGTTCCCCTTAGGGGTGATGAAACGAGCGCCCCGCTTGAGACATCCTCAAGATCTACCCTGAAAGCCAAGGATGTTGGACACCGAAACAAGCAAACCGCCCGAGGCATCCCCACAAACTGGCCGCGAACGGGCCCGTGAAAACACCCCTGTGATCTGAAAGCCAAGGACGTTGGGCATGACAACAAGCAAACCGCCTGAGACATCCCCACAAACTGGCCGCGAACGGGCCCGTGAAAACACCCCTGGCGGCTCCCCTTGCGAGTCTGAGTATGACTAGGTCTGAGTATCAGTAGGTTTCAGTCCGTGCGTTGAGTAACTCAGACTATGAGAAGGTCTGACTATGAGTAGGTATGAAAATAAGTAAGTTTGTGTATGAACAGGTCTGGGAACGAGTCTGGGTATGAGTAAGTCGGGGCACGAAGGAGTCCCAGCATGAGTAAGTCTGAGTATGAGTAGGCCTGCATGTTGTGTGTTGAGTAAGTCAGACCATGAGAAGGTATGAGTACGAGTAGGTATGATAATGAGTATGTCTGTGTATGAGTAGGTGTGTTCTCTCTGGTTATCTGGAATCGGCGGCGTCCGAAACATAAACAAGAACCCCATCTTAGGATATGGTGAAAAAACAAGCGAAGCCAACGCCCCCCCCTAAAAAAAAGACTGAATGAAGAGGAGGGGAAAAACACACACACACACACACACAAAAAAAACGCTACCGAGGAACCCCACATACTTAATTTAAATCGTATGTGTTTGCTTATGTATATATATATATATATATGTGTATGCACAATCCTGCGTTCTGAGCACTCTGAGCGACCGAGCTGAGAGACCACCCCCTGCGCACCCCCTGTGGTGTCGAGAAAGTGCCACGCTTGCTAGGTTTGCGCCAGTGTCGTGGATAGCGGCCGAGCTGAGAGACCACCCCCTGCGCACCCCGTGTGGTGTCGAGAAAGTGCCACGCCTGCTAGGCTTTGCGCCAGTGTCGTGGATAGCGGCCGAGCTGAGAGACCACCCCCTGCGCACCCCCTGTGGTGTCGAGAAAGTGCCACGCCTGCTAGGCTTTGCGCCAGTGTCGTGGATAGCGGCCGAGCTGAGAGACCACCCCCTGCGCACCCCCTGTGGTGTCGAGAAAGTGCCACGCCTGCTAGGCTTTGCGCCAGTGTCGTGGATAGCGGCCGAGCTGAGAGACCACCCCTGCGCACCCCCTGTGGTGTCGAGAAAGTGCCACGCCTGCTAGGCTTTGCGCCAGTGTCGTGGATAGCGGCCGAGCTGAGAGACCACCCCCTGCGCACCCCCTGTGGTGTCGAGAAAGTGCCACGCCTGCTAGGCTTTGCGCCAGTGTCGTGGATAGCGGCCGAGCTGAGAGACCACCCCCTGCGCACCCCCTGTGGTGTCGAGAAAGTGCCACGCCTGCTAGGCTTTGCGCCAGTGTCGTGGATAGCGGCCGAGCTGAGAGACCACCCCCTGCGCACCCCCTGTGGTGTCGAGAAAGTGCCACGCCTGCTAGGCTTTGCGCCAGTGTCGTGGATAGCGGCCGAACTGAGAGACCACCCCCTGCGCACCCCCTGTGGTGTCGAGAAAGTGCCACGCCTGCTAGGCTTTGCGCCAGTGTCGTGGATAGCGGCCGAACTGAGAGACCACCCCTGCGCACCCCCTGTGGTGTCGAGAAAGTGCCACGCCTGCTAGGCTTTGCGCCAGTGTCGTGGATAGCGGCCGAACTGAGAGACCACCCCCTGCGCACCCCCTGTGGTGTCGAGAAAGTGCCACGCCTGCTAGGCTTTGCGCCAGTGTCGTGGATAGCGGCCGAACTGAGAGACCACCCCCTGCGCACCCCCTGTGGTGTCGAGAAAGTGCCACGCCTGCTAGGCTTTGCGCCAGTGTCGTGGATAGCGGCCGAACTGAGAGACCACCCCCTGCGCACCCCCTGTGGTGTCGAGAAAGTGCCACGCCTGCTAGGCTTGCGCACCCCCTGTGGTGTCGAGAAAAAGCCACGCCTGCTAGGCTTTGCGCCAGTGTCGTGGATAGCGGCCGAGCTGAGAGACCACCCCCTGCGCACCCCGTGTGGTGTCGAGAAAGTGCCACGCCTGCTAGGCTTTGCGCCAGTGTCGTGGATAGCGGCCGAACTGAGAGACCACCCCCTGCGCACCCCCTGTGGTGTCGAGAAAGTGCCACGCCTGCTAGGCTTTGCGCCAGTGTCGTGGATAGCGGCCGAACTGAGAGACCACCCCCTGCGCACCCCCTGTGGTGTCGAGAAAGTGCCACGCCTGCTAGGCTTTGCGCCAGTGTCGTGGATAGCGGCCGAACTGAGAGACCACCCCCTGCGCACCCCCTGTGGTGTCGAGAGAGTGCCACGCCTGCTAGGCTTTGCGCCAGTGTCGTGGATAGGGACCGCGGTGAGAGACCACCCCCTGCGCACCCCCTGTGGTGTCGAGAAAGTGCCACGCCTGCTAGGCTTTGCGCCAGTGTCGTGGATAGCGGCCGAGCTGAGAGACCACCCCCTGCGCACCCCCTGTGGTGTCGAGAAAGTGCACGCCTGCTAGCCTTTGCGCCAGTGTCGTGGATAGCGGCCGAGCTGAGAGACCACCCCCTGCGCACCCCCTGTGGTGTCGAGAAAGTGCCACGCCTGCTAGGCTTTGCGCCAGTGTCGTGGATAGCGGCCGAGCTGAGAGACCACCCCCTGCGCACCCCCTTTGGTGTCGAGAAAGTGCCACGCCTGCTAGGCTTTGCGCCAGTGTCGTGGATAGCGGCCGAGCTGAGAGACCACCCCCTGCGCACCCCGTGTGGTGTCGAGAAAGTGCCACGCCTGCTAGGTTTTGCGCCAGTGTCGTGGATAGCGGCCGAGCTGAGAGACCACCCCCTGCGCACCCCCCTGTGGTGTCGGGAAAGTGCCACGCCTGCTAGGCTTTGCGCCAGTGCCACGAGCTGTGCTGTGCTGTGCTGAGCTGAGCCGTGCTGGGCTGTGCTGAGCTGTGCTGCGCTGTGCTGTGTGCTGAGCTGAGCTGAGCTGTGTGCTGTGCTGAGCTGAGCTGTGCTGTACTGTGCTGTGCTGTGATGTGCTGTGCTGAGCTGTGCTGTACGAAGAGTGAGGTGTGTCGCGGGTGCGGCGCGGCAGGGAAGAAAACCAGAACCCCACGAAGCATGTGGGGAAAAACACGGTCGCGCCTCACAACATCTCCATTTGCGCGCGAACGGCAGGAGCTCCCGGGGCCCAAATACCCCGGGAAACCAAAATCTTATAAAAACGACCGCATTTCCCTTGCTTTCGACTCCAATGGACGCAAACTGTGCTCCAGGTCCTCTAATACCTGCAGTCTCTTCCGTGCGTCCCAGAGGGTACGTGCCGGAGCACGACCCAAGGGAGCAGCACGCCTCATTTCCTTCCTCCGTGCGTCCCAGAAGGTACGTGCCGGAGCACGCCCTAAGAGAGCAACGCGCCTCGACTCTTCTTCCGTGCGTTCCAGAGGGTACGTGCCGGAGCACGACCCAAGGGAGCAACACGCCTCATTTCCCTCCTCCGTGCGTCCCAAAGGTACGTGCCGGAGCACGACCCAACGGACCAGCACGCCTCGACTCCATCCTCCGTGCGTCCCAGAGGGTACGTGCCAGAGCACGACCGAAGAGAGCAGCACGCCTCGATTCCTGCCTCGACTCCATCCCCCGTGCGTCCCAGAGGGTACGTGCTGGAGCACGACCCAAGGGAACAGCAACTTGCTGGTCCCCTCTTGGGAGTGCTGAAACCAGCGCAGCGCCTGAGACATCCTCCAAATCTGCTGTAGTCGCAGACGATGTTAGGCACCGAAACAGGCAAACCGCCTGAGACGTCCCTACAAACTGGCCGCGAACGGGCCCGTGATATACACCCTGGCGGCTCCCCTTAGGAGTGCTGAAACCAGCGCCCCGACGGAGACATCCTTTAAATCTGTTGTAGACGCAGACGATGTTGGGCACCGAAACAAGCAAACCGCCTGAGACATCCCCACAAACTTGCCGAGAACGGGCCCGTGATACACCCCCTGGCGGCTCCCCTTAGGAGTGCTGGAACCAGCGCCCCGCCTGAGACATCCTTAAAATCTGCTGCAAACGCAGACGATGTTGGGCACCGAAACAGGCAAACCGCCTGAGTTCCCACAAACTTGCCGAGAACGGGCCCGTGATACACCCCCTGGCGGCTCCCCTTAGGAGTGCTGAAACCAGCGCCCCGACGGAGACATCCTTAAAATCTGCTGCAAACGCAGACGATGTTGGGCACCGAAACAGGCAAACCGCCTGAGACATCCCCACAAACTTGCCGAGAACGGGCCCGTGATACACCCCCTGGCGGCTCCCCTTAGGAGTGCTGAAACCAGCGCCCCGCCTGAGACATCCTTAAAATCTGCTGCAAACGCAGACGATGTTGGTCACCGAAACAGGCAAACCGCCTGAGACATTCCCACAAACGTGCCGCGAACGGGCCCGTGATATACACCCTGGCGGCTCCCCTTAGGAGTGCTGAAACCAGGGCCCCGACGGAGACATCCTTTAAATCTGCTGTAGACGCAGACGATGTTGGGCACCGAAACAAGCAAACCGCCTGAGACATCCCCACAAACTGGCCGCGAACGGGCCCGTGATATACCCCCTGGCGGCTCCCCTTAGGGGTGCTGAAGCTAGCGCCCCGAATGAGACATCGTCAAAATCTGCCGTTCGTTGAGTAGCTCAGACTTTGAGAGGGTCTGAGTATGTGTAGGTCTGAGTATGAATAAGTCTGTGTATGAGTACGTCTGGGTAGGAGTAAGTCTGAGTATGAGAAGTCTGTGTACGAGTAAGTCTGAATGTGTGTACGTCTGGGTATGAGTGAGTCTGAGTATGAGTAGGTCTGAGTAAGAGTAAATCTGAGTATGACTAAGTCTGTGTATGAGTAAGTCTGTTGATGAGTAAGTCTGGGTATGAGGAAGTCTGTGTATGAGTACGTCTGGGTATGAGTAAGTCTGAGTATGAATAAGTCTGTGCATGAGTAAGTCTGTGTTCTGGGTATGTTCTTGATCTCTGGAGTCGGCGGCGTCCAAGAAATAACAAGAACCCCATCTTAGGATATGGGGAACAAGAAGACATCCGCACAATCAACAGCAATAAGAAGAACATACAATCGAACAAATGATAGCACTCAACTCTCAAAAGCAATGAGAAACCAACTCAATCAAAAACAGTGAAAAATCAATACAAGCAAGAAAAGCAGGCAACCACGCACTAAGAAAACGAAACAAAAACACGTATTGGGTCCACGAAACCTGTGAGGGCACAAAAAACAACAAGACAGACAAAAACTTATGATGGTTCTCAACAAAAGCAAAATCACTGGTTTTCATGTTTTCGGACTTTCTCTGGGCTCCCCCAGCCCAGATCCACAGACGAAAACAATAAGAAATCCTTACAGCTCAAACAATAGGAATCCATACATTCAGAAGCAATAAGAAGCCCATGCAATCAAAAACAAAAGAGTCCACGAACCCTGTGAGGATATATATATATATATATAAGAACAAACTGTGATGGCACACAACAAATTGTAGGTTTTCGTGTGTTCGGACTCCCTCCGGGCCCTTCCAGCCCAGATCCGTCCAGGCAGCCTGAATGCACGAAAACCACTGATTGTGGGTTTTCTGGGTACCATCAAAGGTGTTTGTATTTTTGTTTGGTGTTTTGGGTGCCCCCACAGGGTTCGTCGACCCAAGACGTTTTTTGTTATTGTTATTGATTGTGTTGGTGTCTTCTTGTTTTTGATTGAATGCGTTTCTTATTGCTTCTGAGTGCATGGATTACCCATTGTTGTCGTTTGTACGGTTACTTGTTGTTTTCGAGTGTATGGATTTCTTATTGCTCTTGATTGCGTGGATCTGGGCTGGAGGAGCCCAACGGAAGTCCGAAAACACGAAAACCATAGATCATTGTTGTTTTGGGCACCCTCACAAGTTTGTTGGATATGTTTGTGGTTTTTGTTTGGTTGTTGTTGGGTGCCCCGAAAGGGTTCGTGGACCCAAGACGTTTCCTATTGCTCTTGAATGTATGGATGTCTTTTTGTTCTTGACTGTACGGATGTCGTTGCGCTTGATTATATGGGTCTCTGATTGTTTTTGAGTGTAAGTCATTATTGTTATGTTTGATTGTATGTTCTTCTGATTAATGTTGATGGTGCTGATGTCTTATCTTGATTGCGCGGCGGAGAAGGGAGGAAATAAGGAGGAGAAGAAGGATGAAAGGCAATCATAATCATGAGGAGCGAAGGAAATGATGATGATAGTGATAGCGAAAAGGAGGAGGAGGGATGATGATGCTGATGATGACAGCGATAATAAGAATAACGATAATAATAGTAATGATGATGATGACGACGATGGTGATGATGATGATGATGATGATGATGATGATGGTGATGACGAGGATGGGGACGAAGAGAGATGATGACGATTATGGTGATGATGAGGAGGACGAGGAAGAGCGACAATGATGATGGCGATTATGATGATGAGGAGGAGGAGGAGGTATGATGATGGCGATGATGGCGATGAGGAGAAGGAGGGGGCCGAGGCGGTGTTATGATGCTGATGATGTTGACGATGGAGTTCGTGCGCAATAGGAGGATGCGACCAGCAAGAGTGCGGCGGTGAACAGGCAGAAGCGAGATGTTCAAGACGATCTCTGCTAGAGCATGACCAGCAGAAGAGCACTGTAGAGTTCGCGTCGTGTCGTTAACGCTGCGAACGACGATAGGTGCATTAGCGGGCACGGCAGAAAACGCACTGTAGAGTTTGCGTCGTGACAGTAACGCTGCGTTCGTGTGCAATGAGAGGATATGATCAGCAAGACAGCGGCGGTGAACAGGAGATATTATGGTGATGCTGATGACGATGATGATGATGGCAATGTTGGCGATGATGGCCATGAGGACAATGATGATGGTGATGGTGATGGTGATGGTGACGATTGTGATGGTGATGGTGATGGTGATGCCGATAATGTTGACGTTCTTACTGATGACAATGAAATGGTGATGATGGTGACAATGATGCTGATGATGATGATAATGATGATGATGCTGATGATGATGACGATGATGATGCTGACGATGATGCTGATGATGGCGATGATGATGACGATGATACAACCGTGCGCGCGGGCAAAACCACATCATGAGATGCCGCGCGAAAGAAAAGGCTCCCGCGAGAGAAAGCAGCGCACGCCACATGACCTGAAATCGCACCCCCACCCACCCACCCCACAGGCCCCCCGAGAGAGATTGGAAGACAGCGTTCATGATCGGCACACGGGGGTGCGGTTTGGGCCCTGGGGCCGTCGGACACCGGTTTGAGGAACTGGCCAGGGTGGATCCTGGGAAAGTCTGTTACCGAGATACCGGCTTGCGAGGACGTTCTGAAAGTTGTCCCCTCGAGAGCGGACTCTCGAAGATGGCTGTCCCAGCCTGTTCGCCTCCTGAGGCCGCCCAGCAAACAGTTGTTTCCCATGTTCCTATAGATCCATACAGTCGGCCCGTACCATAAGGATGCACGATAAGGATGCAAGGGCCTTAGAAGGCCATCTCTCAAAGCTTTTCGGGCGGGGCGCGGCCAGCGAAAGCTGCCAGGGATGGGCCGAGGAGGCAGGGCTGCAGGGGGTACCCTTTGGGAAGGTTGCCCATCCTTACCATGCGGGTTGACTGTGTATCTCGTTCAGAAATATCCCCACACGCCAGCTCTCCGGCTCTTCTGACGAGTGGAACCCTCAGAGCAGTGCTCCAAAACATGTTGTTCCCGGTCCTCCTGTGTGTTGGCTCATCGTTATCTCTCCGCCGCGCCGCCTGAAAAGAAGCGCCAACCCTAAAAATCCAGGAAGCACCCAGAAACGGTACGGTCAGAACTGCTGCCTTTATGGCCAACCAGAACCGATGAGGTCAACCTGGAGACATTCGGAGCAAGCGCCTTCACAGTGCTAAGGCAATTTCCCTTCCGGGGAACCATTATGCTTGTGAGTGACGTGAGAGAGAGAGAGAGAGACAGAGACAGAGACAGAGACATAGACAGAGTGAAAGAGAGTGGCACGGAATTCCGCTGCCTGCAAGCCCCACGAAGGTCTTGTTGGTAAGCTGGAAGATCTTCTGCCGCTGACAACTCACAGTTTGCAGCTCGCGTATCTGTGCAGGGAGGGTCAGTCTCGCAAAGACTTGACTATGTAAAGCTGTTCGGACAAGAAAGAGGTGCGCCGATTTACTCCAGTGGGTTCGTACGGATAATGGCGACGACAAGGCGGCGAATGAGGAGCATTACAGAGTGGATGACAGGGAGAGCAGCGATGGGAGCAGGAGGACAACGAGTAGGTAGACAAGCGCGGGGACAAAGAAGAAGAGATGAAGAGACAAAGAAGGACGAGTACGAGGAGGAACGAAGCGGAAGGGGAGGAGAAAAAGGACGAAGACGACGAAGGAGGAAGGTGAGGAGCCCGAAGAAAGGACTACGAAGAACGGGGGGGGTCCCCGAGATCTATCGAGGCTACCGTGGGGGGTGGGGGCGCCATCTGGGGCTACATTTGGGTTTCCTGGGAGCCTCTTGAGGGCCTGTCAGGGGCCCTTCTGGGGGGGCCACTGGGGCTACTGGGGCCCCAGTGGGACCTCATTCTTGAAGAGGCTCCTGAACCAGATGTCCCGCCTCGTTGCCTGGCGCTCGAGCTGCAGGTGCGCATGGCTGTCCGTTCCCTGAAAGACGGCGGTGAGCACTCGCCGCCAGTGGACCCAGAGCCGTCTCTCGTCCCAGGCAGCAGCGGCGCGGTCGATCCGGTAGAGGAAAAAGAACTATGCACATACACCGATGTCTGGCCAGGCCAAGATCGGTGCATGTGCATAGTTCTCTTCGCCCGATCCAGGTAGAGCTGCCTGGCATCGTGTCTGCGCCCAGTTGGTCACAGGAGCGCCAGGGGGGACCCAGCCTGCACACGTGGGTCCACGACACTGCCCAGTGCAGGTACGGCACGCAAGCGTATGTTCCAGGCAGTTGTCGCAAGCAGGCCTCAAGCTAGTGAGATGTCTTGAGGAAGCACATCGTTCGATGGCCAACAAATCTGGCATCGTCTGCTCCAGCACAGCTGCAGCAAGGCAACTGCAGCAGATTTCAAGGGCCACGGGACAGAGATCCAGGTTAAGCTAGTGGCAGCCGATCTAGGTATCGACAGAGGCAGAGTGAGCGCTGCACGTCCCAAGCAGTCATCCCGCCGTGTTGCGGCTGCCCGCAGGCTCACTAGAGTGCAGAAGCTTTCCAAAGACAACGTGTTGTGCAAAAGATGGGCCAAGAAGATGGCCCTGACTGCCGTCTTTGCCAAGTCGCGTTGCTCTGACAAAAGTTCATGGCACTGCTCCCCACGTCGTCCTGAGGTAGAGGAGGGCGTTGGGTCGTATGTCTGGTGGTGTCGCTAAGGGGGGAAGGTGCCTCACTACGTTGCTAGCGCTAGAGTACGGTCGGAGGGACCCAGCTTTCCTTGCCCTATTCGATACCATTGAAGCCTGGTTCTTGATTCTCATTGACAGGACCTTCCACGCCGATAGAATCCGCAGGGCCTGGAGGAAAGTGCTAGCCAACCTTAGGGACAAGCCTGCCAGACACCGTTGGCGAGGAGTCGCCACCGCAGTCGCTGCCACCATCGCTACTCTGCTCGACCTCGGATGGGAACCTTGGGGGCCGTGGGCGTGGGAGAGCGACCTGGGGGAACGGCATGCCATTAACGAATCTCTCCTTGGCAGAGGGAAGGTTGCCCTCGCCGAAATCCGAGAGGCGATTGCTGAGAGTTTAGAAAAGAAGTTGTGGATGGGCGCCGCCGAGAACTCTTGGAATGGCCACGGACTCGAGATGGTCCCTGACCTGTTTGATGTTCGCAGGGATCTGAAACGTTGTGCCAAGAAGGGCAAATACGCTTGGGCGAGAATATTTAAAGCGGTTGCCACGGGCAATAGCTGGACCGGGAGTAGGATACAGGAAGGTAACACTTCTGAGGGTAGCACCTGCCGCAGATGTGGCGACGTTTTCGAGTCTGACGTGCACAGGGCTTGGGGCTGCACTGAAAATGCCAAGTTCAGTTAATTGTTGATTTCGTGGTGCGCAGAGACCTCGCAGATGCCGAGAGCACTCCCAATGTTTGGATCCGAGGGCTCACGCCCAAGTCCTGGACTGCAGTGCCCCCACCACCTGATGCTCCCGACTTGCGTAGGCTTGGAGGTGAGTTTGTGGAGGCGGTGGTTGGAGGCGTTGTTTTTGGAGGTGGCGATGCGAGTGGCGGTCGCGGGTGGCTGTGCGAGGCCTAGACAACGACGGACGCTATACGGCCGAAGGCCTCAGCATGCACGCCGTTGCTTTTGGCAGCGTGCGAGGATCACGCCAGTCAGTCAATAGAGAAACCCTGTGCCGACGTGAGTTCGCACGCGCGATCGTTCCCATTGCTAGCGCCTACTTTGTCACGGACTCGTCATATGTTGTCAACCACCTTGCCAAGATCAGGGCTGGGTTGGAACCCGAGTCTCACCTTGATGTTTGGCACCAGTTGCGTAACCCTCTGCAGCAATACACGAACGGGGTCTTGTTCTGGCGAATGTAGAGAGCCACAAAGAAACCCAGCATGTTTCGTCGAGTGGCTCAGACCAGTTGCATTTGTTATTAAAGCCGCTGCCGACAGTATAGCCAAATCGTGGGCCGACCCCAAACGGGCCCCTGAGAAGGATAGGGCCAACCGCTCCTTCGCCCAAGCAAATGCGCATCAGGTCAGGAGCCACCTGGGGATAGGGTGCCCCGAGAGAAAGCTGCGCGGCGGAAACTTCACGAGCACAAGATCCAGTTTGATCTCACTGCTCATACGCCTAACTATGGTCTGCGGTCGAGGATCCAAGGTAAAGTCTGTGGAGGCTCTGCACCGCGAGCTTTGGCTCGCAAATTGTTGCGCACCCCTTGCCACGTTTGGCTCTTGCATGGGGTTGTCATGATTCCGTGAGCGCCCACTGCCAACGGGCAACAGCTCCAAAACTCCCACCAAGATCGATTTTACAAGAAGTGGTGGAATACTGTATGTTGTAAATGCGGTTTCATCTCGGTTCTCGCCGTGAGAAATTTGAAGCGCCAACGCCGTGTTTTTTTGAGCGATTACGGCAAGCGCATGCTGAAGAAGGTTGCCAAATGGCAACCACCTGGCCGCAGAAATTGGGCCAGAGAACAGGTGGCCAAGAGGCTACTCAAGTGATTGTACAGATATGGTACGTATTGCCTGGAGCGAATTAAAGTCTCGTTGGGTTGTCGGGACGCGTCGCAAGGTTTAGCGGGGGGGATCTCAAGCTGTCCTAGCGCCGTCGTGCGATGTCTTGGGCAGTCTGGGAGCCTCCTGGAGCTCTACGGGGGCCTCTTGGGGCCCTCTTCGGGTCTTCAGAAGGGCTTTGGGGGGTTCTTTTGGGCCACTGCGGGCCTCTCCAGAAGCAATTCCAAGACGATGTTGTTTCAAAGCCCCCGCTGAAACAATTTAAGTGAGGATGTCCCGATTTCAGCGACGATTTATCAGACACCTGACCGGACAAGAACGGGAATCACCGCTTTTGCCCACGAGCATTACCAAAGAGCGTCTGTTGAAAACGTCGAAGAAATCCAGGAACGAAACACAAACGACCGACATAACTGCTGACGGTTCATTACGTGGACGAGCCGCGTTCCTGTACTCTGCCGTTTTCCTGTGGTCCACCGTGGTGGGCGCCGACGTCGCGGCGCGAGCGCGCCTGCCCGTCGGGCCCCTGCCCCCCGGATGCGCTGCAGCATCGCCGGAACCATCGCGGCAAGGCGCACCGCAAGCTCCTCGCCGCCATCGCCTCCGGCTCGCGCACGTTGCGCCGAAGCCACGACGCACCTGCAGGCCGCAGCGACCGCCGCTGCAACCGCCTGGCGACCGCCTCCGCCCTTGGCGGCGCCCATGGCCGCCGCCTCGACGAGAGCAGCCCCCATGCCACACCACTGCCGCGGGGCCCGCGGGAGACCGTGCCACAATCGGCTGGAGCCAAAATGGTTACGGAGGTCTGCCAAACTGGTATGCCGTTTTGCTGTGGTCTGCGGAGCTGGTCCGTCGTCCTCGCATTAGTGGCACTTGACCCTGTTGGTCGCGATGATGCTGCCGCCCCAGAACCTGGCCGTGACGTCGGCCTTTGTGAGCACAACTGCCATTTTTGCCTCGGACGTGGTCTCTGCAGCCACGTGCCCATCGCGGTCCTCCCGTTGGCCCTAGTCGCCTGGCTCCGAACTCGGCGAGAAGCGGGCCCTGTTCGCCTGACGGCCTGGTTCCCGTCCCAGAGGGTCGCACTGAGCGCTGCCATTCGCTGTCGCCCTTCTTCTGCGGTCCTCCACCTCGGCCCCAACTGTTTTCTTCCTGCGCGCTGGCACGGCAAACGCAAGATATTATCAACGTGTCCGACGCGGCGCAACGTCGAAGGCGCGGGTCAACGGGCCTTCCGCGCCCAACCGTTGTTCTGAAACGGCCAACGCTTAAGCCCAAATGGCCACAGACTTCGGGTAAGGAAAAGGGCACAACTTCGCGTTGGCACACAGGGAAACCGATTCCGCGAAAAATGCTGGCACCTACGGGTGCTTACTTGTAGGAAGAAGGACAGTCCGCTGGTCTGGCGGCTATATTGTCACCGCCACCGAACAGTCGCCGCCCCATCGCCGCACGTCGTTTGGGCCGGACCACCGATATGGCGAGCATGTTGTCGCCGTCGCCGCACCGTCGCCCGCCACGTATTTTCCAATTTTACATGTTATAATTTAAAACAAAAATTACCCTTTGTTTCGAAATACAATTTACATGTGGTTTTGCCCCTTATCGTCCATCCTAAATACGAATTCAAACCATCCCAAGCGAACCAGTATCGCCCCCCCGTCATCCTCTGCAACAAATACTATGCGCGCGCAATCGTTTTTTCACGAATCAACAGGATTAAACAACCCCTGCCAAAAATGGGACGATGTGCGCAAGCGCGCATCGTCGCGCGCGCACGCACGAATCCTTCAAAAACCCTAGGTTTCGGGAGGGTGTCAAATTCGACTGTCATATATATATATATATACACACACATACATACATACATACTTATACACTTATAACCTGGTTTCGCACCACTGTTCAAAAAGTATGCGTGCGCGCGCTCTTGCAAATTCTGAGGAATACCATCGGTGCTTCGATTTCTTTTTCACTAAATGCTACCAGGCGGGCTTCGCGCGCGCGCATGTCGAAATCGTTCGAACGCTCGCGCTCTTGCAAATTATATAACCCCCCCCAAAAAAAAACTGTTCAACGTGTTCTTCGAATTCCGCCAAAAGGGCTTCTCGCGCCGCATGCCGAAATCAATCGAACGCCCTTGCGCGCGTGCTGAGGGGGCGCGATACGCGTCGAATAGCACTATGCAGGCCATTCTCGCGCGTCGGCCGCGCGCGCATGCCGAACTCTTTTCGAAAACTCCATCACCGACGCGAGGACGCCGCCATCGTCGCCGGCGTGATCAGCATCGGCGCCGTCACTGGCCATCGCGTCTACCGTTGCCGACGCTGCCATGATACAGCGCCCGCCCAAATCGCCGATTCGCACTGACGTGCCCGCCGGGATGTGCCCAGCGGCGGTCAGCGCTACCGCGGCCGCGTCGGTCGCGCCAAACTAGCTGGCCGTTGCGAGCGCGCATGCGCGGGCTGGCGCGGCCGCGGATATGCACAAGTCAACACCAAGCACTCATCGCCATCGCCGCCGCATGGGTTTTGCAAATCAAGTTGCGGGTGGGTCGGTGGGATGATTACCCGAGCAGTGCAGTCGACAACTGCGAGTTTCACAAGTGTGATCTCCTGTCTAAGAAAAAAGGGTCCACCACCACCACCCAAGCTTTATCGGTACACCTTTTCTGTGTTACGATTTACATATGACTCTGCCCCATCGCCCATCCGAGCCATGAACTCATGTCAACCCGACCCCCCCCCGCCATCCTCTGCACAAAAACTACGCGCGCATACTCGTTTATGAAAAATCAGAACGTTTCAAAAATCATTTGCAACAGATAAACGGGAAGATGTGCACACGCGCGCGTCGTCGCGCGCATGCCGAAATCATTTGAAAACCTTCGGAATCAAACATATAAAAACACATGTTTTCGTTTGCGAATTCCACGGAAAACCATGGGTTCCAATATTTTCAGAAAGTGCTACCAAACGGGCTTCGCGCGCGCGCATGTCGAAACCGTTCGAACGCCATTGCGCGCGTGCCGTCGCGAGACACAGTTGCAAAACAATTAACGAAATGCCCACGCGCGCGTCGTCGCGCGCGCATGCCGGAATCCTTCAAAAACCTTCGGCTCCGTAGCGATATCCAAACTAAATGTTCAAAACACATTCACGAACACATGGTTTCGCAACATCAGTTTTCAAAAAAGCCTGCGCTCGCGCCCTTGCGAATTTCTCGGGAAACCCCTAAGTTGTTCAACATGTTTACGGGATTCTGCCAAACTGGCCTCCGGCGCCGCATGCCGACATCATTCGCACGCCCTTGCGGGCGTGCTGAGGCGGCCCGGTCCGTGTCGCATAAAACCATTCGGGCTACGCTCGCGAGCCGGCCGCACGCATGTCGATTTGTTTTTCGAAACCTTCATCACCGACGCGAGGACGCCGTCATCGTCGTCGGCGTGATCAGCATCGGCGCCCACACTGGCCGCGCCTCAGTCAATACGAACATCGTCACCAACATCGCCACTATCGTCATCGTGTCTACCGTAGTCGGCATTGCCATGATACCGCGCCCACCCAAGTCGCCGACTCGTAGTGAAGTGCCCGCTGGGATGCGCCCAGCGGTTAACGCCACTGCGGCCGCGTCGGTGGCGCCAAACGAGCTGGCCGCTGCGCGCGCGTGTTAGTGTTGGCGCGGCCGCAAATATGCACCAGCCAACGCCAGGCATGCATCGCAATCGCCACTGCATGGGTTTCGCAAGCCAAATTACTTGTGGGTGGGTGGGTGCTTGCAACAGCATGGGATGTGACAACTCGTTTGTGTAAATTCGCCGGCCCAACGGGCCAGAGGCGTGCTAAGATCTCCGGTAACTGGTTAACAATAATTCTAGTTCGCGCTCGCGGGGCGGCCCCTGGGGGTCCCCCGGCGAAGAGTACCCCGACCGCAGCCCGGGAACTATTGCTCAGAGATGGTTTCCCTCCTGGGTGCGGCCTTCCACGCCCCCGGAGCGCGCAAAAAGAGCCAAAAGAGGCCCCCAAGACGGTCCAAGAGGGCTCCGAATCACCGAACAATCGGCCCAAGACGCCCAACACGGCGTCAAGACGGCCCAAGAGGCCTCCAAGACGTCCCAAGAGAGCCCCGACCCTTCCCAAGGGAGCCCCAAGAGGCAAAAATCAATGACTTTCCTTAGGTTTTTGAAGGTGTTGGCTTCCTCGCCTTTTCGCCTTTCCGACGCTCCAAGACGGCCCAAGAGGGCCCCAAGACCACCCCAAGACGGCCCAAGAGGCCCCCAAGAGAGCCCCAAGACCGCCCAAGAGGGCCCCAAGACAGCCTAAACGGCGCCCAAGAGGGCCCGATGAGGGCCCCAAGAGAGGCCCGAGATGGAGACCACGAACCGAAAATCCGAGCCTTCCGCTCCAAGAGGCCTCCAGGACGCCCCAAGAGGCCCCTAAGAGGCCCCAAGAGGCGCCAAGAGGCCCAAAAGAAACCCCAAAAGGCTCCAAAACGGAGCCCCGAGATACAAAAATCAGTGATCCTCTTAGGTTTTTGAAGGTTTTTGGCTTCCTCGCCTTTTCGCCTTTCCGACGCTCCAAGACGGCCCAAGAGGCCCCCAAGACCACCCCAAGACGGCCCAAGAGGCCCCCAAGAGAGCCCCAAGACCGCCCAAGAGGGCCCCAAGAGGGGCCCAAGATGGAGACCACGAACCGAAAATCCGAGCCTTCCGCTCCAAGAGGCCTCCAGGACGCCCCAAGAGGCCCCCAAGAGGCCCCAAGAGGCGCCAAGAGGCCCGAAAGAGACCCCAAAAGGCTCCAAAACGGAGCCCCGAGATACAAAAATCAGTGATCCTCTTAGGTTTTTGAAGGTTTTTGGCTTCCTCGCCTTTTCGCCTTTCCGACGCTCCAAGACGGCCCAAGAGGGCCCCAAGACCACCCCAAGACGGCCCAAGAGGCCCCCAAGAGAGCCCCAAGACCGCCCAAGAGGGCCCCAAGACAGCCTAAAAGGCGCCCAAGCGGGCCCCAAGAGGCGCCCAAGATGGAGACCACGAACCGAAAATCCAAGCCCTTCCGCTCCAAGAGGCCTCCAGGACGCCCCAAGAGGCCCCCAAGAGGCCCCAAGAGGCGCCAAGAGGCCCGAAAGAGACGCCCAAAGGCTCAAAAACGGAGCCCCAAGAGGCAAAACTCAGTGATTTCCATTAGGTGTCTGAAGGTTTTTGGCTTCCTCGCCTTTTCGCGTTTCCGACACTCCAAGACGGCCCAAGAGGCCCCCCCAAGACCCACCCCCAAGACCACGCCCAAGAGGCCCCCAAGAGAGCCCCAAGACCGCCCAAAGAGCTTTTCAAGACAGCCCAAAAGGCGCCCAAGACTGCCCAAGAGGGCCCCAAGAGGAGCCCAAGAGATGGAGACCACGAACCGAAAATCCGAGCCTTCCGCTCCAAGAGGCCTCCAGGACGCCCCAAGAGGCCCCTAGAGAGGCCCCAAGAGGCGCCAAGAGGCCCGAAAGAGACCCAAAACGCTCCCAAAACGGGCCCCGAGATGCAAAAATCTGTGATCTCTTAGTTTTGAAGGTTTTGGCTTCCTCGCCTTTTCGCGTTTCCGACACTCCAAGACGGCCCAAGAGGCCCCCAAGACCACCCCAAGGCAGCCCACGAGGCCCCCAAGAGAGCCCCAAGACCGCCCAAGAGGGCCCCAAGACAGCCTAAAAGGCGCCCAAGAAGGCCCCAAGAGGGCCCCAAGAGGGGCCCAAGATG